CGGAAAAAAAAAAAAAAAAAAAAAAAAAAAAAAAAAAAAAAAAAAAAAAACCTTATTCCTGAAACAACTTTTCTTGCTATTCCTCCTTCACATGTCATGTATCACTCCCCTGCTTTAATGGTTCCTCACTACATAAATTCCAGACTCTTTACTATAACTTACATTAAAAGTCATTCATGGTATGACTTAGCTTGATTCTTCTAGCCTCGCCTACAACTCCACTCTTAACTTGAACATTGTGCTCCTACCAGAACGAACTTCTGTTAGTTCCCTGAACTTGCCGCACTCTCTCTTTCCTCTGGTCTTTTTACATACATGTTCTTCCTTTTCCTGGAATATTCATCCCTGCCCCTATCTCCATCTAGATTATTCCTACTAAAATAATTACATCTGGGAAACTTTGCTAGATGCACCTAAGTCACAGTTAGATACCCTCACATTAATACCTCATACTTCTTCTGCCTTTCCACTTATCACGTGGCCTGTCCACCAACGTTGTGAGAGCAGAGACCAAGTTTGCCCTATGCATTATTTTATTTCCAATGTGAACTCCATAAAGCATTTTGTCTGTTTAGTTTGCTGATATAACCCCAGAATATAAAATAGTGCTTGGCACATGGCAGTTATTCAATAAATATTTGATGAATGAATGATCAAGCTATGTGCTTTACATACTATCATTTTGCTTTAAAGTATATTACCATACTCAAAATAACCACATTAGTGGGCTTGAATTCTTACAGAATATTCCAACACTATTTTTTTTATATACAGTGAACAAGTGAATAATAATTAAGTATAAACTTGTTTATCTGTAAGGGTAGCTAAGTATCAATGTAACTATATCTTCCTCAATTAGCAAAAAATATTTAGTAGCAAGAGAAAAGTGAATCTCAAACACGTAAGCTTTCTTTGTATAACACTAAAAAGGTATTTACTTAAATTACCTTCTTATCCCTGGTAACATCCTTCTATGCCAGAAGAGCTCAAAATGTTTTGTTACCTTGGATGTCTGATAATTACTTTCCTAAAAAAAAATCAATTCTAAGCTAATAAGAAAGCCTGTAAGTCTTTTGATCTTCACCCCTACTTTTAGTTCATATGCAAAAATACGAATTTTTTTTTATCTTATCAGGAGTTTTATATACAAATAGGAAATTACCACCTTCCCAGTTGTTTCTGGAGGTCTAACATGTACTGGTAACATTGTGCATAGTAAGTCATCTGGGCTTCTACAAAATCATTCAGACAGCGGAGATGATGGGCCTGTAGAGGAAAGTTACAGTCAGTTCTTAGCTCTACACTCTACTTACAAAGTGGCAAATGCTACAGGGAGACAGAACACAACATTGTACTTAGGGAGAATCACCGGTACCTAGCATCTTACTACAAGGCTTATTAAGACTGACCTCAATGAACAGTACAGTAACAAACTCTGCTTGGCCAATATATACCAAAAGTGGATCTGATGAGGGTGGGAGAACTACGTGATAAGGTGTAAGCAAAAATTTAAAATATTTCCTCACATATCGGGGAAAGTGCCATAATTTAAATTTCCTTGGTAAATAACTGAAAAAGAAGTTCAGTTTTTCCTCCCCAAATTGCCTTAGAACTATCAAAGTCTTTTGTTCCAAATCAATTTCCAATGGATGAACACTCACGTGTGTACTGCTGATTCCTTCTAGCAGAAGTCTGGTAATCTCTGCTTGACGATCGAACTCACTTTGAGTTATTCTTAATTCCTGCTCAGACTTAAATTAGAACATAGTTTTAGAATCTAATTAGAAGAATTTAGCCCATCTTATATACATTTGTTTAGACAGTTAAGCAAATCCCCCAAACAAACCCCAAATTATATATGATCTGGCAATTCCATGATTTTGCTTTGTATCCAAACTGGTCCATGGCTTCTAGACCTTGGCTTTTCTATATTACTCAACCTCAACAGATCTGATTCCTTACCACTGCCTGACTCAAAAGAATCTATTAATGCCAAAGCTTATAACATACTCATAAGAACTTAGAAAAACTACTATGGGACAGTAGAGATATTTTCACACATTTTCTAGATCAATTTTGCTAAATTTTAATATTTTAAAAACTCTTACGATAACCACAGTTTTACAAGCATAAAATAATATTACCACAAAAAATTCTTAATTATCACTATAGTTTCTTACTTTGAAGTTAGACAGTCTTCAATCTCAAATGCAAGATATTTTAGCATGAACCCACAGGATTTTTACCTCTTGCGTTTAGTTAACAAACACTTGTTGTTAAGAACAGTTATTAAGTTCCTTCAAAAGATTCTTTACCCTACATTTTAAATGTCTTTCTTTGAAATTTTCTTCCCAAACTATGCATAAAATATCCTTAAGCAGAAATATTACCTGTTAAGATACACTAGGGTTTTAAAAAGTTTTTCTATAAGTTATGGTTGACCTTCAATCAGTATGCTGCTAAACCAGTTCTCCATGGAAGAAGAAAAAAAAACCAACTCCGGGCTGGCCCGTGGCTCACTTGGGAGAGTGCGGTGCTGATAACACCAAGGCCTCGGGTTCGGATCCCATATAGGGATGACCGGTTCGCTCACGGGCTGAGCATGGTGCTGACAACACCAAGTTAAGGGTTAAGATCCCCTTACCGGTCATCTTTTGAAAAAAAAAAACCCAACTCTAATATCCTGATTTTTGTGGTATAAATACTTCTACCATGGCTGATTTCAAGCTACCAAGGTGAAGTAAGTCATGGACTTTGGAGTTAAGAAGATTTTATATATATATATATATATATATATATATATATATGTATGTGTGTGTGTGTGTGTGTGTGTATATATATATATATACACATATCATACCATATGTATATATATATATATATATACATATCATACCATACTGGCTTCAACCATCAAGTTATAATAGTTCACCAAAAAACCAAAAAGATCTAAAAATAATAAATACTAGCAAAAAACATCTTGTCAAACCTTTAGCCAGGGTTGGTTGGTGCATGGGATGTAGCTTATAACAAATACTTGAAAATGTGGAAGTGGCTTTGGAACTGGGTGTTGAGGAGAGGCTGGAAGAATTTGGAGGAGCAGGCTAGAAAAAACCCAGCTGCTGGTGGGAGTTTAGAAGACAAGAAAACCAAGGAAAGTTTGGAACTTCTTAGAGACTGGTTAAAAGATGAGTGAGCTGAATTGACAGAAATACAGACAGTAAAGGCCATACTGAGGAGATCTGAAGATAGAAATAAGGAGTTTATTAGAACTGGGACAAAGATCACCCTTGCTATAAACTGGCAAAAACTTGGCTGCATTCCATTCATACCCAAATGATGAGTGAGCTGAATTGACAGAAATACAGACAGTAAAGGCCATACTGAGGAGATCTGAAGACAGAAATAAGGAGTTTATTAGAACTGGGACAAAGATCACCCTTGCTATAAACTGGCAAGAACTTGGCTGCATTCCATTCATACCCAAAAGTTTAATGGAATGCGGAACTTCAAAGTGCTGAACCAGGGTATTTGGTGGAAGCAATTTCTAAGCAGCAAAGCATTAAGGAAGCAGCATGGCTACTTCCAACAGCCTATGCTGAGTTATGGCAGAAAAGGCATGAGGTAAAACCAGAATTTATAATTCACAAGAAAGCAGAGGGCAAAAAATTGGAAAATTTTCAGCCTGGCCACGAAAGCAAGGGTCTAGCCTGGTGACTGTTTGCTAAGGAGATTAGTACAGAAGAAAGGGATTATCAAGAAGGCAAAAAAGATCTTGAAGGCATTTCAGAGATCTTCAAGGTTGCATCTTCCATTACAGGCCCATATACCTAGAAGACAATGCTCTTGGAGAATAGGCCCAAGGTGCCCTCCATGGGCTGGCTGTCCACGGCTACATCAGGATGCTTGTTCCTGTACCAGCACCCCAGCTGCTTTAGCTATTCCTCTGGCTACTCCAGCTGTGGCTAAATTGGCCCCAGGTGTGGCAGGACCTGCAGCTTTGGAAGATACAAGCCGGAAGCCTTGGCAGCGTCCACATGGTGTTAAGTCTGCAGGCCCCCAGAAATGCCCATTTCAAAAGACATATGGAAAAGCCTGGGGGCCCAGGAAGAGATTTGTCACAGGGGCAGATTTATTGCATAGAGCCTTCACTAGAGCAATGCTGAGTGGAAACATGGGGTCAGAGTTGCAGCAGAAAAACCTCACCAATGCCATGTCTAGTGCAGCCCTGAGGTAGGGATAGCCATGGAGACCCCAGATTTGTGGAACTACCAGAATGTAATGCCAGCCTGGGAAAGCTAAAGTATTGCCTGAGACCACAAAAGCTGTAGACGTGGAGCTGCCTGCAGTCTTGGGGACCCAACCCCCACATCAATGGGCAGAGAATGTGGAACATGGAGTCAAGGTAAATGACTCAACAGCTGTAAGATTTAACGCCTGCCCTGCTGGGTTTTGGACTTGCTCAGGACCTGCTACCCAATTCTTTTGGCCTCTTTTTCCCTTTTTGAATGGGATTATGTACCCTATGCTTGTCCCACCATTGTACCTTGGTAGTAGATAATTTGTTTTGATTAGACGGGTGGGACTTTGAACTTTAGACTTTTGAGCTGGAATAAGTTAAGACTTTGGGGATGGAATGTATGTATTTACTTGTGAGAAGGATATAAACTTCGGGGGCTGGGGCAGAATGCAGTAGATTGAATGGCCCCCCAAATTATTAAAGCTTAATCCCCATTGTAACTGTTGAGGGTGGGAAATCCTATTATGGTAATTAAAAGGTAGGGTCTTGAAGAGGTCATTAGAATCTGATGATCATGCCCTAATGAATGGATTAATAATGGTGGTCATGGCGTGGTTCTGAGGGCTTTAAAAGGAGAACACATGAGTCTCTCTCTGCTTCCATCATCTCGCAATGTGTCACTGAAGCCACCACCAAGGAAGACTCTCATCAGATGTGTTCCCCGGACTTTGGACTTCCCAGCCTCAGAAACTGTAAGCAATAAGTATCGTTTCTTTATAAATTATCCAGTTCCAAGCACTTTGTTCCAAGCAACAGAAATGGACTAATAAAGTTGGTAGTAAGTGGGGAGGAGAAAATAAAACTTCACAGCTCACTGGAAATAGCTTATCCTCCACTAGGAATCATCATTGGTGACAATGTCATTATAATAATATTTTTTACTATGTCTCCAGTATAGCTTTTTACATTTTTATAATTTACATTTCCAAGATTTATTAAGTACAAAAACAAGGATGGAACTTTTTCCTCTCATGCCCCAATACCCTCTCCTTTACCCTTTGATGGCAATAATTAACCTAATGAGCCACTCAACAAAGAAATAGCAGAAAAGCAGATAATAGTTGCTTTACTATCCCACTGGCAACAGACCTGTCAGAGGTCTAAGAACTGACTACTAGATCAGATTTATAAAAATAAGCCTGAATTACTCAATAAGCGAAAAGTTGAAATTTACTTGACTAAAATTAGAATACATGGTGCTTTCATAGCAGAACTAAGAAGCAGCAGAAGCAGAAGTAAGCTTCACCTGCAAGGTAACATAAAGCAGATAAGCGAAAAGTTGAAATTTACTTGACTAAAATTAGAATACATGGTGCTTTCATAGCAGAAGTAAGAAGCAGCAGAAGCAGAAGTAAGCTTCACCTGCAAGGTAACATAAAGCAGAAAAAAGTCCCAGGAAAAGAAAAGAATCAATGTTCTTTCCAAGGAAAGCCTAAAGGAAAGCCATCATTTCAGTGTTACATATGCACTATTTGTCATTCTGCTTCAGTGAATACAAAAAGGCTTTGATTAATAGAAATAACTATAGTAAACTAAAAACAAATGAACTTCAGAAGTGAACTAGGCTAGTTACATGTAGGTCTTCAATTGTGAAAGTACAGTTTGATTTGGTGGCCTTTAGTAGAAACGCAGAAAAGGCAGTATTTCTCTACAACGTGTAAGCAAGTAAGCTAGATAGCAGATTAAAGTAACCAGGAAGTTTGAGACTGAAGAAGAAATAATGTTTTAGTGCTAAGTACAGTGAATAAAAATATAATAAATGATCTCACTAAGGATGAAGGATCAGTCTTCTAGGTTTGAGCAAAATTTAATATTTAATTGTGAAGAAAGGCACCATGTTATAAAGCTTAGGAAGTCATTCTATGTACAATCTAGACTTTACATTTAGGAAAGGTAAATGACAGTAAAGAAATGAATCTCCTTTCTTTTTTCGGCGCTGGCTGGTATGGGGAACAGATAAAATCTTGGTGTTACAAGGCTGCGCTCCAACTAACTGAGCGAATAACCACCCAGCCCTGAACCTCATTTCTTGAACAAGTTTCAGTGTGTGTCCAGGGTGGCTGCACAACATAGTCAAATGTCCCAAACCATCTATATTTCTAACATATAATTGTGCATAATAATCTCAGAGACTAAGGAAATTTAAATTAGGTTCAGCATAATAAGCATACATGGGAAGAAAATGATCCATATTAGAAAGATAGATACAGTTTTAAGAAAGACAATGAATTTAAAGGGCTGATATTCTGTCCTTCAGAAGATCTCATTCCCGGACTTAATTTTATAATTAAGATGTAGAGTTCAAGGGAACAGACCTTCTACTGCTAAGAATTATCATTACTAAACTAACTGATCTACACTATATGGAAGCATAATATGTGTTAGGCAAGCAAGAAGAGTACTTTTAAGATATATCTTGGAAAGTGGGCAAGAATTTGTTGGTCTGTGACATCAGGATTGGATACCTATAAGCTAGAAATTTTGGTCATGCTTCTGAGGCATTTGCTGTGACAATCTTGGTTGGTGTTACCTATTTTTTCTATGGGCTTAACCCTAAAATATTCTAGGAATATGAAGTTCTAAAATTTATACATTTTTTAAAAATTATAAAATGACAGAAGTGAGAAGGAAAAAAAAAATCTCCCCAAATCCATTTTGATATATTTCCTTAAGATTTTTTGATATGTACATATACAATATAAATATATTTCATGAATTTCTTCCCGTTTATTACATAAACTATTTCCCAAACTTGCAGAGAGTATAAGATCAAGTCAAATTTTTTGGTGTACCTGTATGCCAACCGGAGGGGAAAACCTGGTTTTCTTGTTCAACCTATATTCCCTACGTTGCTCTGCTCCCCGCTTGCACGCTAATGGTTCAGAAAGAAATCGAAGCCAGAGTGAAACCATGAATAAGCTGATGAATAGATTACTCAAAGGGGGATGAGAGTGTAAGACAAGAATTCCACACTGAATTTCCAAGTTAACTCTATAACCTATGCATAACACAGACTGTATAATCAGCAATCCTACAAAGCCAGAAAATAAAAAGTTAAAGTTTAAAAAACTATTAAAAGTCAGGGGCCACAATTATCACCTGTCCTCAATCTCCAGCATCATCCTCATTTATAGGTCAGATTTTAGTAGGTCTGAACATTTTTCAGTAAATGAAAAATGCTTCTGAAGATCTAAAATAGCATTTGAAACAAATCTGCACTAAAGTCCTAATTTTATTCCTTAAATTCTTGCTTAATTACAGAGAAGATTGGAAATGGTAACACAGGCAGAGGGACTGTTAGCAGCAGTCATATGGACAGCTTCTAAAAGTAACAGTCTGACATTGAGGGAGGAGACAATGTACTTGAAAAACAACAGATCCAATTTTTACACAGTATAATAATGGATGTTCAAAATAATGACCTTAATTGTAAGTAAAATTAGATATTTGCTACCCTTGTATTTAATGCACAGTAAAGTATATCTTTAACAGATATTTTCAACTAATGCGACTGAGAAAAATTAGCTTTGGTACTGGAGAGAACAAGTATCAGTTACCTAAAATATTCATTTGTGTGATATATGATATATCCAATTCTCTGAACATATAGGACACCGTGTTAACTATATTTTACATTTTAAAAATTGTCATTTTAAAAAATAATGCTGTGAATAAAACCAAGTATTTCAATTGTCTTCTATCAAGGCAATGTAAGATCACCACTTAATATAACAGGTATCTAGGATTTAACAGGGTATGCACAAACTCCATCTCTGCAGCATTGTTCTACTGCTTCTATGGAGCTGCTATTAGCCAAACAGACCTTAGCATTTGCACAATTTCAGATTTTATAAGATACAGTAACACAGACTGGCTCCATGGTTGTTGCCCAATAAATACTTACTGAATGAATGAAAAGTAAATTCTTGTTTCATAATTCTATAGTTTAATAATTTACTTACTTTTGTCACTTCTTCTGCCCATATCTAGCCAGCATTAAAAATTAGAGAAAAATATACAGCATGAAAGAAAGTTGGAATTTTCTACAACTTAGTATAGAAAAATGTAAATGTTTTAATTGAAATGGCATACTCTCCTTTTCCAGACTCATATCAACAGATTAAACACAGTAGTAACTAAATCAGTATAACTTAACATACTGTGAAAGTATGCCTTTTACATGTATCAATACATCAGCACTATCAATTTTTAAACCTTATGCTAATCCTATAAATTAATAAGAATAACAGTTTTCCCAAACTGGGAATATCTAACCTCTCTTACTTCCAGTTTTCACATTGGTAAAATCAGAGGTCTGAACTAAATGGTTTCTAATTTTTCATTTAGATATAAATTCTAGAATTTTAGAAAATGGAAACAAAGCAAGGGTAAATGGACACTGAATGCTGATATAGCCTTTTTTGGGAGAAATGATAAACTTGAGATACAATGAATTTAAAATGACCAGAGTTAAATATATCTTACTATAAGTAGATGACGACAGTAGTAAAACAAATGCTGAATAAATGAATCAAAATCTGCTAATTGTTTAGAAGATATTTTTACCTAAAAGAAAACCTATAATTTATATACTAAATTAGTAATGACTAAAATATTCACACTTCATTAAAATTTCATTTACCTATACATAGGACAATGGAAATAAACGAAAATGCATTCTCTTGCTATCTAAGGAAAGCCCTAATTTAGTTAGGGCTTCAATAATTATAGTTAAAAAAAACCAAATAACAAAAAAATGTTTTACATATTCTGTACAATAATCCTTCCTACTACATAGATTTTTTTTCCTGCTTTTAGTTCAGTGCTAATGAGAAAAAAGCAGTCAATATTACCAACTTACTACTAACTTTACTTCAGATTCCTTGCTACTTCTAATGGAAGTAATGTATCATAAATTTGTACTGGCTAACATACACAAATTGTACAGCTATGTTCAGATTTTTACAACTTACTATTTTATCAAAATTAAAAATTTCTAATATCTGAAAAATTTCCTCAAATTGAGCTCAATATACAAGGGGTCTTCAAAAAAATCATGGAAGGATTATGTTATCTTTCAATTTCATTTTTCCATAAACTTTTTAAAGCATATGTGTCCACATTGGATACTATAAAACCATTCTCATTTTCTATTCTTCCCCAAGGTTACACCATCTTGAAACTTTCTCAAGGGGTCTTCAAAAAAATCATGGAAGGATTATGTTATCTTTCAATTTCATTTTTCCATAATCTTTTTAAAGCATATGTGTCCACATTGGATACTATAAAACCATTCTCATTTTCTATTCTTCCCCAAGGTTACACCATCTTGAAACTTTCTTAAGTGAGTTAACATGGGTGAAGAATGGGCCTGGCCATTATAGAAATACCTAACCTACTGGGATTTGTCTTGGCTTGGAATGGCAGAAGAAATTAATTCTATGTTGAGTTTGGTTGATAAGGTAAACGTTGAAGCTACTGAGAAGCAATATCAATTCGTATACCTTATACCTTTCTCTAAATAAAGTATATTTTGTTAATTTTCTTTGCCAAAAGTAAAAATATGGGTGCCAGCTCAAATTAGCATCTTTTGAGCTAAAACAAACGAATGCATGGCATCAACTATTTTAGACTTTTAATGCGGCTAATAGCAAGAGAAGGCACTTTATTCAAGATATAGAAAACACAGTAGGCCAACAAACCTTCAGCCATTTTACATGCAGGAAGTTGAGCATGTAAGAGAAATTTACCATAATGTTATCTCCTTCAAGGCGAGCTGAATTTAGTTGCTTAAGTGCATAGGTAAGAGACAAAGAACACATACCAATGAACACAGTGAAACAAGTTACTTCTGCACAATACAGAACACACTAAACAAGTATTAAAAGAGCCAATACAATGTTTTTTTCTACTTAAAAAGAAACCCAAGTACATTTATTGTTCTGTGAAACTTCATATAGTGGTGCCTACTCATTTTTTCCAAGATTCAAATTTTTAAAACAAAAAACATGGCTGATGCTTGATTTTAAATTAGAATCATTTAGGGAAAACCGATCACTTTAAAGACTGCCAGTTACCTAATTTTCACATATGAAAGCCCTTCTGCCTACCCACAATTTTCCTATTCATAGATCATTTCTATTTTATGAATTCATGAATGCCTTCAACCACATTCTCTTTCAATCAGCCCCAGCCAGGGTCTTGGCATACTCTGAAGAAATATGAAAGGCATGTCAATCCTTACATATCTAATAAACTTTAAATTCGAACATGTGTACATATAAAGTTAAGGTTATATGATGGTGCTATAAATTTATTGAGTTTACAGATTAAAGATTTAGACCACTGTGGAAATGCCTAAGTGAGCAGAGGGAAATATTTGCTATATGATGTTACATAAGTATTTACCAACAAATTTGGATGCTCCAAAATAACAGAAGTCTAAACCTCTAAATACTGGAGAGCTTTGAAACGAGCTGATTTTTTCCTTCCCATTAACAAAACTCTAAAATAATTTTTTGAAAAAGTTTATATTAGACTAAGATTATGGTAAATAATTTAGGTGCCTCATAATTTAAATGTATGTCATATTTTGTTCGTACTTCTCTGACACAGTTTGTAAAACTATTTTCAAAACTGTATTTTTGTACATTGTGAAACATTAAAGTGTGTTTCTTTTTTCTGCTCAACTGGTATATTTTTGAGAAATGCCTTTGATGTTGTTTTACCATTCTTCAACATGCGAACTAGTAATACAGAAGTTAGTAAAGTAGCAATACTGGATCCAGTCAGAAATTTTATACTGATAGGGCTAAAATCATCAAAAAGTTTAATCTACTATAATGGATTGTGAACTGAGGGGAATGGAGATTTTGCATTATTTTTCTATGAACTCCTCCTCAGTAGAGTGCTAGCACAAAATTAGCATTCAATGAATACAGAGTTTAAAATGAGGTCACAAAAGTGCTGATACACACGGGTCCCAAACCTTACTAGCAGAGGGATAATTATCACAAAACAATTAATCCATGGAAATTTACAAAGAAGTGAAACCAAAGAAAGTCTGGGGTTAGATAAACCTCTTTAGTTACCAAGTAGGAACCAGAAAACCAGTATCAAAGAAGAAAAAAAAAACAAACCCAAACTCCTAGTAGTTTCTATTTTTTCTGTATTCTTCAAGTAAACTGAAGGGAAATACAGAGGGGAAAAAGATCACCAAATATAGAAATACCCCAAGGCTTTATGTAATAATAACACTAAAAGGACTTTTCCTTTCCAAAGTATTTCAGACACTTCTACAAAGTTTGAAGAAAAATGAATTGGTTATCTAGGGGAAAGAATACAACTAAAATCAGGAAATGTGAATTTTTGTCTAGACTAATATTTCTAATATTTGGCTACAGTTAAATTTTGTTTTATGTAATTTATAAATTCTAAAAGAGCTGTGTATAAATGAAATTTTCTGAAAAAAGTCATCTGTATCATCTTTCATTTTAATTTTAAACATAAATTTCTATGAAAAAAACTTTGTCCTCAAAAATACACAGCACAGAAACAATACTAAGATCTTTCCTAGATATATCAAAAGGAAATACTATTACATTTAGTATTTTTCCTTCCCATTAACAAAACTCTAAAATAATTTTTTAAAAAAGTTTATATTAGACTAAGATTATGGTAAATAATTTAGGTGCCTCATAATTTAAATGTATGTCATATTTTGTTCGTACTTCTCTGACACAGTTTGTAAAACTATTTTCAAAACTGTATTTTTGTTCATTGTGAAACATTAAAGTAGGGTTTCTCTTTTCTGCTCAACTGGTATATTTTTGAGAAATGCCTTTGATGTTGTTTTACCATTCTTTAACATGCGAACTAGTAATACAGACGTTAGTAAAGTAGCAATACTGGATCCAGTCAGAAATTTTATACTGATAGGGCTAAAATCATCAAAAAGTTTAATCTACTATACTGGATTGTGAACTGAAAAAATACGAAATAATCTCAAATACTATTACATTTAGTTCTTATACTTTTTAATAGCAGTGGTAAAATAATTTAGAATAATCAAAGGTCTTGGTATACTGTTAAATCTATGTGTTTTCTAGCATTTTTCCGGGTAAAAAAGTAGACTATCATTATCCTGTAATAGTGCTTGTTAAACAAAGTTTATTACTGAAAGTTGACAACAGTATTCCACAATCATTGGTGGATACGTGTAGGCATTTTGAATAAAGAGATTCTGTTCCAGTTTAAACATTTATTTCCAAATGATCCCTGTTTATCTTAATTATTTTTTCCTGATTATGAAATTAGTATCTTAAAAATCACTTTACATTTTACTATAAAAATTCATTTTTAGCAATGAGAAACTGATAAAACTAATTTAGGGTCTCTTGCCATCTACACTGTTCATTTTCAAAGTTTTGATTCTGCAGATACTCCGTTTAGGGAAGTTATGTTATTTGTGATGATGATATCATGATAAACTCTGATACGGAAATGCCAGTGAATTTGGAATTAATGTCTTATCAAAAATAGCTCTTCTCTAGCAGTAGCTAAAACAGAATCTCCAAAAGGGTAATTTTATATAAAAAATTACTTATTCTGCTCAAGAAAAGTATTGGGGTAGTCTTATACGACATCACTATCCAACACCACGTTATCAGTTTTAAATTTCTCTCTAAACCAATTCTCAACCTTTCTTCCCTCATGCAAAAGAACTGAGACTTCTACCAGCACCGTGGCAATATGCTCACTAAGGCAATGATTCTTGGTAGTGGCAGTGGTAGTGAATTGGGAACAGAAGACAGTGGGAATAACATGCTTCTTAACTAAACATATCCCTTCGTTTAAATTAAAAATTAACTTGTTAGCTTTCTCTAACAAATTCATACTTGTTTATATTGTACTATCTTAAAAGTATTCCAATTCAAATCTGATTAATCTTTTCAAACTTATTAACTAAAAAGCTTATAAATAAAACCTTCTAAGAAAGTTATATATAATATCATTGAATTATTATGTTTAATATACTCACACTCAATTTTTTTTTTTTCCTTTTTGTCTTTTTTCGTGTCCGGCAACGGATCGCAACCCTCAGTGTCGCGCCCGTACCGGACCGGGACCGGCAACGGGATCGCAAACCTCGGTGCTGCGCCCACACCTCGCTCAGCCAGTGAGCGGGAACCGGTCTGTATGTGGGATCCGAACCCTCGGCGGGAGCGCCACCATGCTCTCAAGCGGCGCACTGTAGAAGTGCACCACCGGGCCGGCCCACTCACACTCAATTTTAAAACACTATTCTGATGCTGTTTTTCCGAAAAATATTCCAGAACTTATTTATCCAAATGGGTTTCATTCCCTTCAAAATAGATACCTGGGAGTATATGCTGCCACTGTTTGAATAGTTTTGGAACTATTTGTGGTGATAATTTCTTTAGTCAGTTTGAGTCATATGTGGAAAGGGGACTCATCTAATTTTTAAGCCACATACAAGCATTCTCAAACTTGATTCATTCTCATTTTAATTATTATCTGCTTTGCTATTTCCAAATATAATAAATCCATCAAAAGACATATCTGCCATCACCACTGAGGATATTTAAAGATCATGACATACCTTTAGGAGTTATAATTTTTGCTTTTTAGCAACGGCTATACTGTTGAATATTGCCTCTTGATATGACTACTGTGCACTGACTTGGATATATTAACTTCTGATAAATTTGTTTAAAAACACAAAACCCTAAGGTCATAGTCTAGTCATAAGGGCAGTCTGCATCTTGCATGGTATATTAGTAGAATATTTTACAAACCACTAAAACAAACAAACAAATGAAAAAAACACTACTTACTGAATTTCTAGTTTCTGCAGCTTTTGCCTTTTTTAGTCTGGTTTTTGCAGCATCCAAATCCAGCCTCTTATTTTGTAATAGTTTCCTTTCTTTCTATAAATACAGGAAAAATAAAGGCTAAAGATGCTAAAATCCAATCAGAATATTATTCTCCAGTAAATATATACATATCATCTGATAAAGATCTATGATTACAAAATTGGCTATAAATGGTCACTTAAAAAAATTTTTTTTTATTGTTTTCAATTTTAAAACAATCTCGGCATTCTAGATATCTGGGAAATCTGGGAAAGATGGCAGGTGATAGTAGAAACAAAGGAATATTCATTTTACTATTTTGTGATTTTGCCCCCCCCAGAGAACATTTGACATCTTTTTGGTTGTCATATTTGGGGAAGGGGTGTTACTAGCATCTACTGGGTAAAAGCCAGAGATTCCACTAAATCTCCTACAATGCAGTATAGCTTCCACAACAAAAAAAAATTCAACCCAAAATGTCAGTAGTGCCAGGCTGAAAAGCCCCGTTTCAAATTGTTACAGATTATCCAGAAAGTGTCTATGGTGAAGAAAGTATGGGCTTAGGGCAAGGTTCCTGATGACCTTTGTGATATTCCTCAAGGATTGGTCATCCTGATCTTAATGTGTCGCAGCACCAAAAACAAATCAAATACTAGAAAACAGAATTTTGAAATTACAGAATGAATAATTAATAAAAGTTAGTACAGTATCTTAGAATTCCTCATGGGAACTTCAAGCTTCTGTATAATGTAAAAGTTTACTATAATTCAGTTTGCTTTATTAATTCTTAGATTCCATACGTCAAATTTCATCTTACTGACAAGATAATACATTTAAAATCATATTTTAACTTGGTAGTTCTTCTTTTGTCTCAGGCCAAATAATTGGTTACACACAGACAAATCCACTGTAAACATATTGAAAGTTTCTACAATATTTTGTAATAAGAAATTGGCAAATTAAAGTTTCAAGCTGTATTTACAATAAAGAGCAGCCTTACATAAATCTTAGGAAAAAAAATTCATCTACCTCTTCACTCTCCATCACCAACAAAACAAGTTAAGCTAAAAAATATAGACTAATAGATTAGGTTTAAGAAAAAAAGTGATCTAATATTTATTTCTTATACTTCAGCAATAAAACACAGCAGTGTGAAAAGAAGGTAATACACTTCTATGGATGCATAAAGACATGAAATATAATAGCCAGAAATATACCTTCAAATAATTAGGTTTCTAGCCCCCAGTTTAAATGAATAGTTAGTTACATGGCTATACTATGATGATATTTTGTACCATATTTTCATAATCACTCCGGGATCCTGTCTACAGATTAGAGTTGGTTATGAATGAGAACAGATGTAAAGGCATCTCAATAACACTGTAGGACATAAAAGTAGAGTAAATGGTATCAATAGTCCTTTATTTTGGTTTAGTTTCGTGTTCTGGTAAATATGCACCTACCTAGATTATGTAAGTTTTCTAGTCTGCTACATCTACAGTCATTAAGAGGGATAATAAGTCACTAAAAACTATAAGTCGTATGTCTAAATTATTTTTCTAAAAAAAAAAATGGAACATTTTCCAACTCACAGCAATTGTTTTGTAATCTCCTTCTATAAAGTTTCTTAATGGAGTGAGAAAATTTAAGGCTGATGATTGAATCAGCTCTCTGTCTGCTGTTCCAATTCGTTTTTGTGTTTCTCCACATTTAATAAGGGCATTACCTGCAAAGGAAAAAAGTTGTTTCTTTTCTTTTTTTAAACATTGGTAATGTTAGAAAATAAAATCATGCAAAGATAAACTAGCAATTTGATCTGCTTAAAGGTTAGTTGTCACTTGTTTTCTTAAGTAAAATCAAATAGAATGAACTGAATTAAGGTAGTTTTATTTTAAAAGTAAATTTAAGATTATAAATATCTAAATGAAAAAGATAAAAATGAATTTCCTACCATATCATAGTTAATTATACCAATTCGACCAATGGGACTAAAGAGAACAGACACACCAAAAAATATTTATGGTCACAGCTCAAGCAGTGTAGTTATATTTTAAAAAGTATAATTCTTACAATATTTTAATAAGTAGATCAAGTCATAATTTGTCCTGTTTCTATACCTATGCACATCTCAATTATCTATAAATAATATTCTGTACCTTTAAGTTTAAAAACTCCATGTTTTTGCAACACATATATCCTGATATTTAAACAGGACAAGTACAGCAAGAAAGTAGGGTAAAAACAGAACCCAAGACAGGGTTCTACTCCCAGTTTTACCTCTAATAAGCTTTAATTCTGTGGATCTTAATCCTTCATGTTAGAATGAAATTAGATCTGATGAGTAAGGAAGGTACAAAGTACAGTAATTAAGAGCTCTGTCTCCGGATATAGATATATCTACATTTGAATTACTAGCTGTGTGATCATGGATAAACTATTTAACTTCACGCAGCCTCAGCTTCCTTATCTTTAAAATGGAAATATTAGAATTTACATTATAACCAGGATATAAGTGAGGATTTACTGAAATAATACACAAATATATATACTGTAGAGTGTTTATTAGCCCAATGCCTAGAATACTCAATATTTTAGCTATTACCAATAACTAATAATAGGTACACAAAGCCCAATTCCAGAAATCAGGGTACATTCACTGGAATTGCTAGAGGTGCAAACAGATTAAACAAATTCAAAAGAAAGAAAATCTAGACACCTTTATAATGTTCATGCTCCACTAGGCATTCTGCCTGGTGAAAGAAAGAATGGGCTGGGTCTCCTCACTTACCTTCATGACCCCAGCATCTAACTAAGCCTGGCACAAATACATAATATAACATCTGTTAAATGTATAAAGTTTTTCTTTTTTCTTTTTTTTTTTTCGGGTCTCCTCACTTACCTTCATGACCCCAGCATCTAACTAAGCCTGGCACAAATACATAATAAAACATCTGTTAAATGTATAAAGTTTTTCTTTTTTCTTTTTTTTTTTTTTTTCCTTTTTTTTGTCTTTTTTCATGTCCGGCAACGGATTGCAACCCTCAGTGTCGCGCCCGTACCGGACCGGGACCGGCAACGGGATCGCAACCCTCGGCGTCGCGCCCGCACCTCGCTCAGCCAGTGAGCGGGAACCGGTCTGTATGTGGGATCCGAACCCTCGGCGGGAGCGCCACCACGCTCCCAAGCGGCGCACTGTAGCAGTGCGCCACCAGGCCGGCCCTAAATGTATAAAGTTTTTCTAAAAATTAACAGTTAAAATTTGGAAGTAATTTTAAATTTATTTTAAATGTTAAGCATTTTCAAACTTCTGAAAGAAAGATTTTTAAGAACACAATTTAAAAGTTTCAAAGTTGTACATCTAAAAAGCCAGTCAATGGATTAATGGCATTAGACAGTATTTAGGTTATTTCCTTCTGACATAAATTAACTACTAAAACTTTATCCCACAATTTATGAGCTATTTCGTAAATCAGAACTATTTGTGGAAACTCATTTAATCTACTACCATTCATATCCAAATAATGACCAATTTCTTGCAGAAGTTCTAAAGAAGAGAATTATTAGCCATAAACAACAGGAAAAGAATCTATAGAAATCTGAAATAGTCTCATGTTATGAGAAAATTAGATCTGAGTGATAATAAAGATACATAATTTTGAGGTTTGGAGTTGTACATTTAAAAACTCAGTACAGCAACTAACAAAGCTGCCATAACTATAAAACACAGTCATAGAAAATTTGAAATATATAAGAGGAAAACAGAAATGAAATGTAATCCAAACATCCACACATGACCATTGTTAATATTTTTGGGGTACCAACATAATTGCAAGATTGTAACAACAGCATTAGCGATTTGTTGAAACACAATGTGCACCAAGTACTTTTAATATAAAATTAGCCCTCAAGAATGCTTTAAAAAAAAGTAGGAGACATGTAAACAATAATTACCATATACCA